AAATTTTTTAAAAAGAAAAAAATTTCTGTTCCTTTTACACATATATCGAAAACAGTCTCTCCTGTGGAAAATTACTTTGTCTTCTGTTTCATTCTTTTATGCTTATGCTTCATTTAATAATGAAGGAAAAGCCAGGCTATACACTCAAGAATAGCAAGAGTTTTGCTAGGGCAAAACACATTAAGAAGATATTTCCACAGTTGTGAAAAACATTTGATAGGGTTTGTAAAATCTACAGCGATATTATTAGTTTCCATGTTAAAATTTAAAATGGTTACATTTTTTACATTATCCCTTGATAGCACACAGTGTTGTGAATTAAATTTCTGAAGGAGGCAGGGGATGGGGAAGTTGTAATGAAAGAGTTGTTAAGGAAATGCAACAAAGTATTTGCCATTTCATCATTCTCCCCTTTCTAGCCTATAAACACTTTGCCTATTATAAATGAGGCAGAAGACAGAGGCTTGGGAAAATTATAATACAGTAATTTGCATTCAGACTTACTAAGTTTATTGTATTTTTTCAATTCTAATTGGCAGGAATATATGGTTTACAGGAAACATACTTACATGAGACTTGATGGCTCATCCAAGATTTCAGAGAGGCGGGACATGGTTGCTGATTTTCAGAACAGGTAACCTTAATGAAAATTACGAACCTTTTCATTTCTTACTTTCCGGTAGTGCTTGAGATGGTAAGTTTAAAGGAAGTGCTAGCACGCCTCCTGCCATTATATAGTCATTCAAAGTAATGCCTAAGGGAGCTTTCCTGGCCTTGTGGTACCAAGCTGTGCTGCAATCTCAAAGTAGTACCTAATCTTTTGAATAATAAAAACTAAGTTGCCCCTATGAAGAAAGTAAGTCTTTAAGGAGAGCTCTGGTGGTTTAATGGTAAGGAATTGCGTTGTCAACACCAAAGTATGTGTTCGAATCCCCCAGTTGTTCTGTGGGAGGAAGATGGGCAATTTACTGCCTCTGAAAACCTGCCAGAGGGTCAGCAAGAGGTTGTTTGATTGGTTCCACCTCAATAGTACATAACAACAAGGAAGCTCTTGTGGCCTGTTGGTAAGAAGGTATGGTGCAATCCCAAAGAAAGACACACAGCTCAAATCTACCAGCATCTCTGCAGGCGAAGGATGAGCATTCTCCTCTCATATGATTTACTGCCTCAGAAAACCCACTGGACAGTCAACTATTGGTCAGTTCTAGATGGCACACAACAACATGTAGAAAATAAACATAGAGAAAAGTCCATAAGATTATATTCCTAAATGTTAATAGTCACTTATCCCTTGGTGTTAACTTACAGTTGATTTTCAGTTTAGTTTTGCTTGTTTCCATTTTGTATACATTCGAAGGAAAATGTCTTCATTTTTCCTACCTTCCCTTTAGCATTCTGGTAGAAACCCAATAAAGTATGGCAAACTGCTGTAATGTTCAGTCTGTTCAGCTGGCACCTCTTGTATAGCACAATGATCTTTGAAATTTCAAATACTGCTTGTTGGATGGTGATGCTTTATGAAGCCATAATTATCCTTAGTGCAGATTCTCACTATAATAAACAGAGTCAAGTTACTGTCCTCTAAGCAGAATGCCAGGCTCTGCTAGTGACTAGTCTGCCAAAGTATATCTTTAGTTATCTTCCTTAAACCTAGAAAACAGAGTGTGAGATAATGCTCTGTAAATCAAAACCGTTTTTTACTTCTAGATTTTACTTGGGGAGAAAATTAAATATATAACCATTTATATTTAGGTTACGGTTTTTAATTTCTTTGAGATAAAAGTTGATACAATATTTTAGCCATTTTTAGGTGTACGGTTCATAACTTAGCTCATCTAACATGTGTGTCTACTATTATGGAGCCCTGTTGTTGGGCTGCTGACTGAAAGGTCAGAGGTTTAAATTCTCCAGCTTCTCTAAAGTAAAGTCACCACCATGAGTCAGAAATCTTTCTGATCCTTTGCTCCATTAGGACCTGGATGCTTAGTGTTGGCATTGTGTATTGGAAACAATCTCCTATTTCTCATTTATATTAGCATCTGAACTGTGCCTATTCGTACCAGAAGCTCATTAGAGAGGCCCACAGATAAACATGTACATGCATGCACACTCACAGAAGACAGTTTCTTACTTAAAAATTTTCATGTTTCAAATTGCCCAATATAGAGAAAAAGATAGTTGTTTTTTAAAATGGTAACGTGTACTTTTCCAAATATTTGTATTATTGCTAATGGGGGGGGGCATCAAAAGAAAAAAATCCAGTTTCAGCTGGAAATCCTTGTGGCTCAAAGGTCAGCCAGAGTAAACAAGAACGCCTATAAAAAGCCACTTGCATTCCCTTCATACAAGATTTATTTATGAGGATCCTTCCAGGAAACTGTCTCACTGAGACTAAAGACTGTTTGGCCAGGATGTGCCGACTGGACAACATTGAGAGCACATGACCTACATGATGATCCTAGCAGCCATTCACAAGGTCTTTGCTCTGAGGTGCCTTGGTCTTTGCTTCCTGTCCTCCTTCAGCCCCAGGACATTTGCCAGATGGATCCTCAGTCGTTAGAACATTCAGGAAGACCCTTCTGAATATATGCGAAAACATGACTAGAGTGTGGATTTTTCTTGCTTTATGATTCTTTATTCATTCAGCAAGCCTTTATTGCTGTTGACTGCATCCCTAGCACTATTTGGAAATACTGATACAAAGAAGCTTTATCTCTTTTTCTGTCTCTCTTTCACATTGCCATCAAGTTAGAACCACCTCATTATAACTGACCCTCCAGTAGATTTCCAAGGTTGTAATCACATAGGAGGAGAGTGCCTATTTTTCTGCCTTGTAGACACTTAGATTCAAACCACTTGAGAGTTGCTGCCTTTGGGTTAGCAGAGCACCTCCCTGGAGACTGTTCCAGGAGAGCATCCTAAAGAACCCTTGTTGTTTTGTACCTTTGAGTCGAAACCAACTCATAGCTGGTCCTCCAGCAGGGTTTCAGAGAAGCAGTATAATCATGGGGAGAGTGGGGAGGAGTTTGCTAGTCGTCATCGTCGTGTGTTCCCCCCCGCCCGGGCCATGGGGAGATTTCAAACCACATACCTTCAGGTTGGCAGCACAGCTCCCTACCATTAGGCCGCCAGAGCTCCTGAAGAACCTTTAGTGGGTCATTAACTATGAGTTGAGACTAAGTCTTGTTTTTGCTACATTATTTCACAGTCCCCTCCTTCACAGATCACTCAGAAGCCCATACAGCCTAGTTTCAACTGGAAATCTCTGTGGCTCAAAGGTTGAAGTCCTGTGTTGAGAGTCCTCTTCAGCCCTCTAGAGGGCGCTCACGCCACCCTGTTACCTTTAAGATTTGTTTTCTTTGGTGCGTTGTCCTTTTAAACAGTATCACATTGGCAATACTGGATTTATTGAGTAAACAGGAACTTTTCAGCAGTTTTATTTAGGTTATTTTTATTTTGAATAATCTAGAAATATGACCAGTGGTAGCAGTTACTGATTTGCTTGACAGAAAATCCTCAACATTGCTCTATTCCTAATGTTTTTAATTGCTCACTGTAGTTGATTACATTTCCTAGTGACTCCCAGTCAGGTTTCTGAGGCTATAAATCTTTAAGGAAGGAGAATGCCCATCTTTTTTCCCATGGGACAGCTAATGGCTTTGAATATGCTGGCCTTTTTGTTTAACAGCGCAGTATGGAAAACACTATACACTTGTCTATCTCAGTGCCATGGAATTGGGATTGAATCATAGCTTACCTCTGTTGGGTTTCCGTGGGGGTAAGTTATGAGGGAAGAGATTGCTCATCTAGGAAAGCACTGATGGGGTCGAAGCCCCAAAGAGGCTCGGCCTTTGGGTTAGCAGTGCAGCTCACTGAGAATTATGCCACCTGCCAGAGCGCTCTAAATATTTCCTAATTTCCTTTTACCTAAATGCCTCTTCTTTTTTTCTTTTCTTTCTATACATAGTACTCTGTTTATAAGTGATTACCACATCTGGGGACTTAACTCTAGTTACCAGGTTATGGAAATAACCTCTCTTCTATATTACTTCCCAGCTGCCTTCTGTCTCCCTCTTAGCTTCCTCAGGAATTACCAAAATGCCCTAGCCACTGAGTGGGTAACTCCATCAGATCCCAGTGTCAGAGAGGGGTCTCAGACTCTCTGCCTCTATTTCTACTAAGGCAGGATAGAAGGATGTTTAGGAAAGGTAGTCTTCTTGGCGCCAGAACGAGGAGGATCAATCTATGGAGATTAGAAAGGTCCTGTGGAAATGGAACTTCTGTTTGAAGATTTTTTTATGATCAAAATCCCTCTTATGTCTACAGGGAAAATGTACTTGTAAATTGGTCAGTGCCTTCAACTTTACTTCAGTCTATATTATTTAATCATAAAAGTGACAAAGATAAGTAGATCATATTATTAAATAATAAACTGAAGGATCAAGTAATGGTACTTTTATGACAATACAAAATTCTTAGTCGCTGACCTACAGAAAGCCCTCAGACATACCCTGTTACTTAGGCCTGTTCTAGGAAAGTTGTGTTTAATAGAACACAGATTGTGAACAGTTTCAAACAGGACCTACCAAGCTTAGTAATTCTCCAAGATGCTTATTCATAATAGTTCCTTAACTGAGATTCATGTTTGATGTTGATGTGTCATCAGCTTAATCATTTCAGAGAGTACAGGTAGCATCCTCATTTTACGGTCCAGGAAACAGTCTAGTCAAGTGTTTTTACCAAGGATGAACAACATGAAAGAATGCGAGCACCCTGATATTTTATGGAGTCCAATTTCTTAGTAGATACCGAGTGTTTACTAGAGTGGGTTATACTGCAGTGAGAATATAGATAGGAATGGTTATACCCAGGTTATTCATATGTTGTACTGTCAGTGCTGTGGCTTTCTGTCACTAGATCCTGGATGAAACTTGCTCTGAATGCATCCCCTTCTCTTCAGTCTTCTCCTTCCCTTTTAATACAACATCCTGTTTCATACTGTACAATGTTATCTTGTATATGCAAAGGCCTCTATCTGAAATGAGTCTTTCCCACATCTTAGTGGTCTGAAACATTTGCTACTCTTCTGGTTCTTTCACGCAACCCCTAACAAGATGTTCATTACCAGTTTCACACTCACTAAAAAAAAAACAAAAAAAAAGCAACAAACCCCTCACTGCTGTCATTTATAACACATAATGACCCTCCATTAGGTTTATGGTTGTTGTTAATGTTCATTAACATCTAGCTGGAACTGACTGACAGCTGATCCTCCAGGAGATTTTCAGAGCCAGTACTGTCAAGGGAGGCAATTTTCCATCTTTCTCCCTGAGAGCAGATGGTAGATTTAAACCACATGCCATTGCATTGGCAGCACAACTCCTTACCACTTAGCCACCAGAGCTCCCTCCCTTAGGTTTACAGGACTGTAAATCTTAAAGAAGACTGCTCATCTTTCTTCTGAGGAACAGCTAGTGGATTGGAACTGCCAGAGACCGACACTCAGCAACACACTATGAACTAGTTAGAGGTCCTTTGTTTCAATCTAGGTGTTGGAATTTGTTTGATTTTTGAAGTCATTTCTTCTGAAATATAAATGGTTTCTATTTTAAGGAGAGGAAAACCCTCAGCCAAGTGGATTGGTACAGTGACTGTCAAAATGGCCTTAGTGCATCAGGAAGTGTGAGGATGGCGCAGGAGAGGATGGGGTTCAAATCTGTTATCCATAGGTTGCTATGGATTGTACTCAAACTCAGTGGCACCTTTCAACAACACCATTAAGTCAGTGGGCCACACATTCTTTATTTTTCTTTTTTACTAGAACCAACAGAATGAAATTAGTTTTACATATCATACGTGAAACACAAAGCATTGTGACCTGCAATATATGGTAGTCTCTTCTGTTTCATTTCTTTTTAAAATTGTGACTTGAGTGCAAAACAAATTGCTTTTCCATTAAGTCATACATATTTTGTTTTATAACATTAATTATAATACCTATAATGGAATCACACCCTTCCACTTCATCCCTTTGATTCTTCTTTTCATTATTCTTTCTCTCTCACTTCTTCATTGAGCAAATCTATTCTTTTGACTTTAAATGGCTAGTTCTAAGGAGTGGGTGCCTCTCTGCTGTTACTCACTTAATAGATCTGTCTCTTGTTTGTCCAAAAGTTGAACCGTAAGGTGAAGTTTTATTCCAGATTCATAGGGTATCTAAGGACCAAGTCTCAGGCGTTCCACCAGTCTCTATCACACCTGACCATTTTTAGGTTTTTTACGTTTATTCCACATTTTCCCTCACTCTTTCTATATTCCAACTTGATAGGTTTTGTTAACATTCATCAAAAGTACCTGAATTTAAGGGAGCTCTGGTGACCTAGTGGTAAGAAGCCACGCTGCAATCCCAAAGACAATCAGTACATATCTGCCAGATGCTCTGCTGAAGAAGGAGGGGCAGTCTCCTCCTGTGCCAGTCAGACTCAGTGCAACAGTACACAAAAAGAAGAAGAAGAAGGAAAAAATAGTACTTGAATTTATAACTGTGTAATTAGATTGATCCTAAATTCTAAGTACATAGATGTATGTCTTGGATGTTAGGCCAATCTTTAGGTGGATTTTCCGGGACTTATTTTCTTCAATTTAAAGTGAATTTTTAGGTGGGGGGAGCCCCACCACGCCAGCCCCTTTTACAGTCTATTGCATAGAAATAAAGTGGAAGTCCAGCCCAAAAAAAAAAAAAAAGGTGAATTTTTAGATTAAAAATCATTAGTTTCTCAACTATTGAAAACTCTATAGTTCTTGAGGGAAACCCTGAAGTACTGGTTTATTTGTTTCCTTATGTATAACCGAAGTGTGATTTGACTTGTTAAAAATACATAATTATTACATACATAGAGAAAACTCTACTTCCACATAACATTTTTTCCCCTATTACTGTTGGTCACTTAGTTGTTATAATATTACTTACCAGTAAGGCACTATTATTGTTGAGTGACATCCAGTCAACAAGTCACAGTAACCCTGTGAACCTTATTGGGGTTACCATCATTTGATTTTAGCAACAGAGCATATTTGTGCAGTGAGGCAAGAAAACCTTCTGTACATGCTATATTGAGAGATCCTTCACTTGCAATTTCTTTTTCAGTATTTTCTCTTACTGTATCCCTTCCTTTCTCACAGAAATGACATCTTTGTGTTCCTGTTAAGCACAAGAGCTGGAGGACTGGGTATCAATCTCACTGCTGCAGACACAGTAAGTAATGGGAGCCCAGTAGTGTCCTAGATAATGTAGGTTTTCGTCTATGAGTATGTCATTCAGTTTGTATTACACTTCATTTTGTGTCACAGACTTATTTCTTCACTTCTTGTTAAGATTTATAGGTTGTACTTTTAATAACTTAAGCATTTTTGCTCTGCTTTTAGACTTCTCTAAATAAGTTTCAAAGAATGAATGTCCAACATTCATTTGACAAATATTCAGTGAATGCATAATATGTATTGGACACTGTTATAGACACTTGAGATACATCATGAACAAAGACTGGAAAAAGTCAGTTAATCCAACTAGATTTGTTTTAGGAGTTTTAGTTTATCAAATCAGAAGGGATTACTTCATTATTATTGTATATTGTTCCACTATAATAAAAACTCACTTTTTAAAGGTTAATAAAGAATCAAGTTGATAATTCAAAAAGTTAACAAAGATATTTTTACAGATTACTCAGTTCATATTTGTCTCCTTAGAATAATAGTGCTTCCTCTGAAAAAGAGAAGAACACCCCTTAACAATTTCCATAAATTTAAAAAATTACATAAATGAGAAATTGTTTATAAAAGGCCTGACTCCAGAAGTGTCCCTTTACATTATATAATAATATATTATATACATAGCTATTATAGTGCATCTCCATGAAATAACAAATCTTCAAAATATCAAATATGGTCAGGATGACAGAAAGAAGAGCATTCTGAGCAGAGTACGTAAGTGCAAAATCCTGAGATGAGAACATGTTGGAGTAATTAGACAGCAATAAGTGATCCAAAGTAGGCAGCTTAAGATGAGTGTGGGAGAAGTGATAGGAAAGTGTGTTACTATCTAAAAGTCTTTAACCATTCAGCCAGGGCTTCAGGTCTGAGAACTGCTGAAGGGCATACCTGGGTAGATCCTTTATCTAGCATGCACATCAATAACCTGTGTCACTATATGGAAAAACTATCCTTTGTGGTAGAAACTGTTCTTGTGAGTTCTCTGATATTATGGCTCACTTGGTGCCATATCAGATAACATAGACTTACCTTTCTCCTTGTTCTACTTGTTTCTGTGCTGCTGCTATTGTTGGAGCATTCACTATCATCCCAAAGTAGTCATAGTTTCAGTATGAATACAGCTTTCTCCTAACTGATCTTTTGACCTCTGGTCTGAGCCCTGAAGCACTATATTACCTTTTAATCCAGATTCATTCTTTGTTATATTTCTACTATATTGTTAGCTTATTTATACCGTTCTATATTAATCATGTCACTCCTTTACTAAAAACTCTTCAGAGATCTTCCATAATTTATAATAAGCTCCTTTATGTGGCATACGAGACCGTACATTTTGTAGCCTTTCTCTATCTTTTCTACTTAATTACCAGACCATTTCTCCTTCTAAATGTATATTCCAGAAATAATAATTGGTTTATAGTTCCTGTGTAAACTGCTTCCTCAGAATAAAATGTGCCCTGTAAACCTTCTCTTTTACATAGTAAGCTGCTATTTGTTTTTTAAAACACTGACCTTCTTCCACTAGTCAACCACATAGTATGTAATTATTTCATATACTGCACTTTGAACTCTGCAGTGGATGTGGAAATGTCTCTGTATTTGGAACAATTAATTCAACAAATGATTATTGAAAATCCATCTAAAGCCAGGGACAGTTTTAGCCACATATAACAAAATCTTTATTTCCTCATAGTTTTTAGACATTAAATTTCTATCAGGGAGAGATTGAATATAAACAAAATACTAAACAGTAATATGAATACTATGAAGAAAAATAAAGCAGGTAAGGTGTAATGGGATGTTCAAGGATTACTGTTTTATATAGGTTGGTAAGGCCTCTCTAATAACATAATACTTGAACCTAAGACCTGAGGAAAGGAAGGAAGCAAGACAAAAGCCTGTATGTGACAGAAAGAATAGTGTTCCAAGCAGAGCAGATACGTGCAAAGTCCTGAAGTGAGAACATGTTGGAGTAATTAGGCAACAACAAGTAACCCAGAGTAGGTGGCTTAAGATCAGTGTGGGGAAAATGATAGAAAAGTGTGTTGTAGAAGATCATTTAGAGCTTAGTATCAAGTAAGCTGGAAGACCATGTGAAGGACTTGAATACAGGAATAATAGGATCTGTTTTAAGATGTTGATTTATCTCTGACTTTTGAAAAGCTGTAGGGGAAAAAGTAGAAGGTGAAAGACTAATTTAGGAGTTAGACATAAGATAATGATGACTTGGACAAAAGTAGAAGCAGTAGAGATGGTAAGAAATATTTTTAGCCTGTTAGCCTCCTCAAAGTGTATTATGTCAGTAAAGCCAATAGAGTTGTTGCTAGTTTGTAAGGCATGAGGAGTCATGAATGAGGACACCACAGTATCTAACCTGAGTATCTGGGATGATGCTCACACAAAATATTGTTGGGAATCAGATGAGATAGGTGCAAGTTTGAGGTAGCAACACTCTGGAATTCTGGAGAAAGATTAGGGACAACAAATGTCTTTTTGAGTTATCAGGTTATAGATGATATTTAAGGCCACTAGACGTGATTAAGTCTCAGAAAAGTCTGTGGTTTTCATCACTTGTAAGTCAGAACTGACTCATAGGTGACTCTCTGGCCGGTTTCAAAAACTATAGATTTCATAGGAGGATATTGCCCATCTTTTTCCTTTGAAGTAGCTAGTGGATTTAAACCCCTTGCCTTTGGGTTGACAGTGCAACTCCTTACCTACTGGGTCACCAGAGCTCCCTCTGGAAAGTCTAATATAGGTTGATCAAAATGTATTTCCTTCCTTCTCAGGGAGGGTGCTTATCTCACATTTCATCCATAATTTCTTAAATACATTTCCCTTAGTCATTGAATTCTGTAATCAAAGAAATAAACAAATTTGAGGGACAATAGCAGCATATGTCTAGTCTTCATACAGTTTGCCCAAAATGAAACTAAGGCATTCCTTCAATTGCAAAGAACCAAAAGTAGACCCCTGGCCAATACTAAACAGTATCTACTTACTAACCAAAAAGCTGGAAGTTCACACCCACTCAGTAGCTCTGTGGAAGAGAACGTAGTGTTCTTCCATAGATTTTTAACCAGGAAAATTCTATGTGGCAACTTTGTAAGCTGTAACTGACTTGAAAGCACCCAACAACTACCACCACCACCAAGAAAAGTAGAAGCAACAGTTCCTCTTTCATTTTGCAGCATGAAGCAATAGCCAGAATATTACGAATTTTGAAATCCAAAATAATTTACATTGTATTTCTGGGAGAATCACTTGTAAATTAGGATTGTTGTTGTTTTTGTTATGTGCCATCGGGTCGCCTGCAACTCTAGTGACCCAAAGTGCTATATCCCTAAACCCTGCTCTATCCTGTACCAGTCTCATTGTCTCTGACATGTCCACCTCCATTACCCCAGTCACTGAATCAATCCATCTCATCGAGGGTCTTTCTCTCCTGCACTGCCCTTCACCCTCTCAAACATGAATATTTTCCAGAAAAAAAGAGCTCTGGTGGTAGTTATGGACTACTAAGCTCACCACTGGCCCCACTCCACAGGAGAAAAGTCAGGTAGTCTTTTTCTTAAGATTTATGGCTTCAGAAATTGTATGGAGTCCAGGTCACTGTGAGTTGGAATGTGGAATTTTTTTTCTTTCTTTTTACATATTCCCCAGAAAAATAAGACAGCATGTTGTCATACTTCCTAAAATATGCTTTATATGAACTCATGTTGGGCTCTTTGTATGTATTAAAATTAAAGAGCATACTGCAATCCCAGAGGAACACGGTTCGAATCCACCACACGCTCTGCCGGAAAAGGAGGCGTAATATCCTCCTGTACCAGTCAGATCTGATTTGACGGTACACGCACACAAAATAATAAAAATTTAAAAAAAAAAAAATTAAAGAGCAGTAAACTTAACAGCTTGCCTTGCATTCCTCCTTTGCCCTGAAATTTACATAGCTTTGGGAGATCCCCTGGACAATTTATGGATAAGGAAGAAGTTTGTCAGCTAAGTTGACAGAATTCATTTAATAATGTCATGTGACTGAGAATACAGTTTGTTGGTATTTGCATAAGTAAACATGGAGTCATAAACACAGTGGAGTCTGTCTAGCCCACTTTGTTAGTGAAAACATGATTTTAACATGTGATGAATGGCAGCTGCTTCTTACAGTCTTTTACTTTGTTCTTCCTGAAGTAGGAATAGCTTTGTGATAAGACTATTTACAGAGAAGTTGTTCGGCATAAATTGCACCATTTGTTTTGTTTCTGTTACAGACGGTTTTTTGTGGTTTTTCTTTTTCTCTTTGTTTTTTGTGGTTTCTGGGGGTTCCCCCCCCCCCCCTGTATACTGTTGAATAAGAGTTTACTGGCACTGGAGGAGATTGCCCCTCTTTCTCCAGCAGAGCATCTGGTGGATTCGAACCACATGCCTTTGGGATTGCAATGCATCTTCTTGCCACTAGACCACCAGAGCTCCCTTTATGACAGAGTTGTTTTAAATGCATACACGTAGCTTGAGTAAGTTTTTGTCCTCTAGTTAGCAATATGGGAAATCCCATGAGACAGCATGGGCAACTTAGAGCTCTCCCAAAACATTAGATTTCGATCCATTCTCTTGGGGGGAAAGAGCTCCACCCTGCAAGTCTTAGTCCAACTTTTTCCATTTGTTCTCTGAATTTTCCTTTTGACCATTTCACTCTTCATCCCCTGAAACCATTTGTCATTGGCCTTCGTAACATAGCACCTCCACTCCATCTCAGCTCTCACTTCCTGCTCCCATACCTGCCTGACTTGTGTTTACAACTTTATGAAGATGCTCTGAATACTTTTTCCCTTAGTCATTGCTGGGCCACGCTTTGTGGATTGACTTGCTTTAATCGTTTCTAGTTAAGTCAGTTGTATACTAGTCTTTTAATTGATATTTGTTTTTCTCTAGACTGTTTCTCTGAACTCTATAAACCTGATTACCAAATATAGATGTCATTTTTTGTCCCACTGTGGTAGGAAGTGTCACTTCTGCTGCTATCCCCAGTTCATGCTATGACTGATTGAGTGTTCTGTCAAATTAGGTAGTAGCCAGTTCATCTGACTTGGTTTTTAGTTGTCACAGTCTTCATTCTGTTTTCACTTAATATGTATTTATTTTTCTTTTTTTTCTGGATAAGTATTTTTCTAAACAGAAACCTACTTTATTTTCTTTTCCTCCCATATTCTCCCACTTCCTTTACTCCATTTATAGGATACATAGCCAATATGTGTGTGTTATAGGGAGCTCTGGTTGTCTGCCTAGTCTATAGGAATTAGAGGCCACACCTCTCTGGTTTGAATCAACTAGTGACTGCGAGAGGAAACAGGCTATCTCCTCCTATGTGATTTGAGCCTTGAAACTCCACTAGTGGGTCTGCTATAAGTGGATCCTGATTTATCAACAATGAATGAGTTTGTGTAAGTTGATTGTTTATTTTGAAGTTAAAATTACAAACCTATCTCCTTGGATTTTATTGTTAGTGTTTATGAACTCAAAATAGCCAAGGTTGAATCAGATCTGGTTGCCATTGAGATTTTCAGGAAAAAATGTAAATGCTAAGAAAGCAACTATGATTATGATTCATAACATAGGATTCCCATTATGCATTCATACTGAATCTTGCCTGTGACTTGCACAGATCCAGCTGCCATCTTTTGAATATGACATCAGCCTTCAGTTTTTATGTATGTAGTCATTTGAGGTGTATTATACAAGTCATGCACTCTTGTGTCAAATTGGATGTCTCTTTTTTTGGTTACCTCTGTCTTCACTTCCTTTGTTCACCTTTAATTTTTTTTTTCTTTTCCTGTTTTTATTAATTTTAGTGAAAGTTTACAGAGACTTTGTATTTCCATTCATTCATTGTTGCACTTTGCCCCCTGTCCAACCTCTAACCCTAGTTCGCTCTTCTCTTTGAAAAGTAAAAGAAAAATTTATTCATTGTTATACAGTCCCTTCCCCGCAAGTCCTCTCCACTATGCAGCCTTCATTTTGAAAAGTTAAAAAAAATTCTTTCATTGTTACACAATCCTTTCCCCCAAGTCCACACCACTATGCAGCCTTCGTTCTGGACTCTTGTCATGACAATAATACTTAATCATAATATCCCTTTTAAACAGTTTTCTCCCTCATCTGTTCCAATGCAGTATACATAATTTATCTTATCTTTCTCAGTCTCCAACCCCAATGTCAGTCCCGTTTTACAACAGTGGCACTATGCAGTATTTGTCCTTTTGTGACTGAGATATTTCACTCAGCATAGTGTCCTCCAAGGTCATCCATTTTGAATAATATTTCATGAGTTGTTTTTCACTGCAGCATAGTATTCCATTGTGTGAATATACTACAACTTCTCTAGCCATTCGTTAGTTGATGGGCACTTAGGTTGTTTTTAACTCCTTGCTGTTGTGACCAAAGCTGCAGTAAACATGGGTGTGCATTCACCTTGAAAATTTAAGCTGGGTTTTCTAAAATTTGGTATGTCCTGTTAAAACTCCAGATCTTAAATCTATGGGCATTGTAAGGTAATAATAATGATAAAGATGGGGCCTTTTCTTGGCTTTTTCTTTTAAAGAGGCTATCATTCTCCCCTCAAGTTTTTCTAACCTGTGCTAAAAATGGAAAGATTTCTAACTTATAAGTCATAGAGTTCAGAACCATTGTTCATAGGATCTCTATGAGTCATAGTTAACTTGAAAGCACATAACAACAAGGTTAGGGAAACAACTTGAATAAAAAGAAGTGCAAACAGATGTGATTATACATAAGGAACACTGAAGAAATTTGTCTGCTTAAAAAGGGAGCCATAATTGTTTGGGAAAGAATAGAAAATGAAGTTGACTCGTTAGAGCAGCACACTGCTATTTAGAGGAGTTTTTACTTGGTGTCTGTGTAACTGGCAGAGAACAGGGGTAGTCAGTAGCAGGGAAGGTTTGTCTACAGTGATATAAGGACTAGACTTAAGACACTGAGACTGATATCCATTAAACACATTAGATTGATGGAGCATAAATGACCCAGACTTGATTGAGGATGACAACAGTAGACTGAGGATAACAACAATAGAACTGTGCAAAAGATAGGCTCATTTTTAAAGAAGCTCTGGCTGAATTTATTGATCTGGTTCTTCTGGTAGATAGCAAAGTATAAGGATTCATACATCTATCTGTTCATTTTAGAATCATTTCTAGATGGCAGGTTGTTGATTGTAGTAATAATAATAATAATTATTATACAGCAAGCTTGTAAATAACTTCCATAAACTGCATATCTGAAAATCATGAGGAAGATATTACCCTATTAATAGAAGCAGATCTCCCTAAGAATGCCAAGAAAGCTCCACCCACCTGCGAGGGTAGAGAAAACTTTCCCCTCCCTCACATTCTAGGTCTACCCCTTTAGTAGTCTGTAAACTTAGATAAATTCTTTCGCATATCTGTGCATCAATTTCTTCATCTGTTTTTAAATGAACACTGTAAGAGGAAAGCCCAGGGCAAGTAAAAGAATGCCTTGATCATAAGAGTTTATATTCTCTCCATCTCATTCCCATATAAAGAATCTGGCATCAAATTACTACAGACAGTTCAGTGATTGATTGCTCTAAAAATTCCTGGCCCTATCTGGAAAGCATCTCAGTCTTTGCTGTATTCTTATCTTGCCTGTGCAGGTGATTTTCTATGATAGCGACTGGAACCCCACTGTGGACCAGCAAGCCATGGACAGGGCCCATCGCTTGGGGCAGACAAAGCAGGTTACTGTGTACCGCCTCATCTGTAAAGGTACCATTGAGGAACGTATTCTTCAGAGAGCCAAGGAGAAGAGTGAGGTAAGTGCAAGGCAAAAAATTAATAATTCTGATGGAGAAAATAGAAAGTCCAACCACATTGACTAGGATAAGTCTTCTTAAGGCTCTTCTGCCTTTTATTGACAATGAAGGAACCAGAATCTTTTTGAATAGAGAGTGAAAGTTCTGTATGATCGCAATCTCAACTACTCTCACCATTACGTACTCTTCACCATAATAGTATCCATCAGGATTCCACAGTTGTCCATATAGAAACTATGACACTGGCAATCTGGATAAGCCAGTTGGATAAACTAGAATAAGGAAACCTGAGGATCATATTTATTTGTGGATATTCACCATATGGAAAGAGATACATGGAGATGACAATGTGATCTGCTTTGCTGTAGATTCAGCGGATGGTGATTTCAGGCGGGAACTTCAAGCCAGATACCCTGAAACCCAAAGAGGTGGTTAGTCTTCTTCTAGATGATGAAGAGTTGGAGAAGAAACGTACGTACTTCGAACCTCCTCTGCTCTTCCCTCTAACAGATTTTTCTCTAGTTCCAGATGTCTGAAAATGGACGGGTTACTTGATTGTGTGCCAAGAGTAGGAAAAACCAAAGACTTTAATTTGTGGGAAATTTTTAATACTAGTATTTTATATTAGAAGCCAAAAAAGAATATAGAGTAAAAGGCAGAAATCACATGTCTTTTAAAAAATAAATAGGGCATCTAATAAATTGTTACCTTGCTATAGTGCTGTATATCCCTAGATTTCCTAGCAATAATCAATTTACTGTGCCCTGAGAAATGTTTCTATGGAAAAGATGGAGAAGTACCACAATAGCATGTCAGCACTTCTCCCATGTGTCTGGTTATAGAGAACAATAGATTTCAAACGTATATAGTGAGGTTTCAGAAGACTTCCACAGCATCGTGGCAAAAAAAGTTTACACATCTCATTCTTATCACCATCTTCCAGAAAACCTTTTGGACTTCTGCAGCTACACTTGGTCTGTTCAGCAAAGAGACTGGAAGGAAAAGGAGAGGAAGGCAAAGAACAGCTCATAATAATAAAATTGAACCATGGTTGAACACAAAAGCTAGAGAGTATCTAAAGTCTCTGTTCTTTCTCCAAGGTAGAAAACTCCTTGTTTTCTGCCTTAGACAGATAGAAGCCATACCCTGGAGAACCATCAGAGAGTACAGCTACCTTAGTTTCAGAATAAATAAGACCGAATGCATCCAAAATAGATTTGTTGTATCTTTTAATATAAGGATCAGATTGCAAGAAACGATAATGAGTACATAGGTGCTATAAAGTACAGGTAGGAGATTCTTCAGATCTTATTTTATTTTCTTGATAGTGAGACTGAGACAAGAAGAAAAACGTCAACAGGAAGAAACCAACCGAGTGAAAGAGCGCAAGCGCAAGCGGGAAAAATATGCAGAGAAGGTACGTCGCCCCTAAGACCGTGGGCTGGTGGGATGCTTACAGTTAGATTAGGAATATGGGCTGAGTGACATCCAGCTCCAGCTCTCCATGATTAGCCAAGTTCCGTGCTGATTGATTTTTAGTCAAGAGATATGCTCAAGAGTACTATGGCCCTGAGAAACCTGTACACATGACATAGACCCATACTGTGTCCACACGTTTCATCTTAAAAACTATTTGAGCTATTTCAAAGGGGAAAGTTAAATATGGCCATTATGGCTGTTAGATTATTTGATTTCATAAACTCCTAAAGCCTGAGAATTCACTGGAGCCAGTCATCCTACCATAATTCTGCCTGTGCACTATTTACAGTTATCTGTCATTAAGAAAATAAATCCGTGGGAAACCTGTCTCTCTCTTTTTCTCCTGTATACACCAAGAATTTGAACTATCTTTTGTCTCCCTTCTTATTTTTCCTGCTTTGGTCCTCTCTTATTTTTACTGTCTCTTTCATTACTGTCAAGTGGATTCTGATTCATAGCTGACCCTCCAGTAGGTTTGCTGTAAATTACAGAAAATTTTGCTTGCAGAGAGCTTGGTGGATTTGAACCACCAGACAAGCTCAGGCTGTGGGTTAGCAGTTCCTCTCTCGACAGACTACACCACTAGAGCGCCCTTGCTTTAGTGCAGTAGGATGCCAAGTGGGATGTCATTTCTTTTATTCTTTTTAAAGAATCATTACCAGTCATTCATATCTCTGATCTTCACTGGCATGTAAATTAAAGGAAAATCTTTAGAGCTTAGTCTTCAGAAGTTAACTCATTTGTTCTAAGTTCCCAGAATTACTGTGCCCATGAGTTGGTCATTTGGCACCTTTTTACTACCTCCCAGGAAGTATAACCAATTATTTTCTGTTGGGTTTAGCATGCCCTTGAACGTCAGGCCACCCAATCTATATCATCCCTAGTTAGACCCCAGTCTTGACAGTCACCTGATCCTCAAACATCTCTGTAAGTTTCCTCAAATCCTACCTTTGTGCATGATCCTCTTCCTTGGCCTTTGTGATTTGCCTGAAGCAAATATATCTGGCCACATGTTAAAACTCTTTCTGTTTAAATGGAGGTTGTTCCCCTTATCCATTCTTAGTGTTAGGAACCTCGTGTCTCTTTGGCCATGTCTGTATTAAATCATCCTCCAGTAGACATATCAACTCTTCTTGCTATAAACTGAGCTCACTGCTAAGCACATGTCTTGTCTCAAGGATATCCCTCATGCTCACCTCATTTAGAAAGCTTCAAAATTCTGGAAATTAAAGTCTCTCTTATCTGAGCTGCTGTGTCTACCCATTTCCTCAGGTTCTCATCCTCTTTCATAATTCTACCTCAGTATCTAACTTGCTATTTAGGGAGCTCTGGTGGCTTAGTGGTAAGGACTTATACTACTAATCCAAAGGCACTCGATTCAAATCCGTTAGCTGCTGCTTAGAAGAAAGATAGGCACTCTCCCATGTCATTTTCTGCCTCTGAAAACGTGTGGAAGATTAGCTATGAGTCAGTTTTTGGAATTTTGTTGTTGTTTTTGGGGGGTGAGGGGCGCCCATGCATGCGCCATTGAATCTGATCGCATTAAACTGGTACAGAAGGAGACTGCCCCTCCTTCTCCAGTAGAACATCTTGTGAATTCAAACCATGCACCTTCGGGATTGCAACGCAGCTTCTTGCCACTTGACCACCAAAGCTCCCTCTGAGTCAGTTTTAACTGTACAGTAAATAATAACAACTTGCTATTTAGAATAAAAAATACTTTAACATTCAGAAATAGTATCAAAGAAGAAATAAAGGTGGTTTTCTCATACAAAACAGGAGTTACAGAGTTTGCATTCTTGGGTGTTGTCATTACTGTATAGGACTTGAGATAATTGTACAGTAGTAATATTAACTGGGTAAAACATACCATATTAACCCTAATACAGGTGTCGACATGATGAAGTATAGTGGGTGGGTATAATTCCCAGGTGTACGCAAGCATGTTCTGGGATTTCACATTCTTAGTCTGTGACAAAGCCTTACATAATTTGTATTTATAGCTTCATCATTTAGCTCTTAGGAGTTTGTTATATATGAGTTGAAAAAATAATAACAAAAACAACTCATTATTCCTAGGGTATGATGAAGCCTTTTATTTATTTATTTTTCCTCATGTAGTATATTTAACAGAAGAACAAAGTGAAAATATGTGCATAAATATGTTAAAAGAAAAAATAAATAAAAACACTGCCTTTCCAAGAGTGCATTAAGTTAGCCTGAGTTCTTTGTTACTGCTTGGGTGTACCAGAGGCTGACCGTCTGCTCCCATGAGGATCAGACCTGGTGTGGTTCTGGTTCTCTTTCGCTGGCCTGCCTTTTAAATTCTTAGAAACCACTTCTTCCTTGTGAATTTTTTCCTTTCTTAAAAATAGACAAATTGAAAATCATGAAATAGAGAAGTTCATATAACATTAATGCTTTGTCATCGTTTCTTCCCAACCGCTGACTTTTCTTGGTGCCTGTCCTCATGCTTTATGGTATTTCCTGATTTGTGTGTTCCCAGAAAAAAAAGGAAGATGAATTGGATGGGAAAAGGCGAAAGGAGGGTGTGAACCTAGTGATCCCGTTTGTTCCTTCGGCTGATAACTCCAACCTCTCTGCTGATGGGGATGACTCCTTCATTAGTGTGGACTCTGCCATGCCCAGCCCTTTCAGTGAGGTGAGGCTCCTGGTTGATTTCTTCAGCACAGATGGGGGGATTGTGTCTTGACCTTGAAGCAAGGACAACAGCTGAGCAGCCTGTGCTTCTCCTGGAGTCTCCTTGCCTTGTAGAAGGGAATGGGAGGATTTGGGATGCACAAGGAGAAGGTGGCATCTCTAGTCCTTGCATGTTCTGTCTTGGATCTGATCAGCAGTACTAAAGTCAGACAGAAGAAAGAAATAGTGACAATACCCATGAAGCATGTTTTTGGTGAGGTCCAAAGGTCTCTAGCAGCTGCCCTACTGCTGGTGAGTGCTGTGGGCACCATGAGCTGGTGTTGATCTCAGCTTTTGCCTCCTCTAGATCTCCATCAGCAGTGAGCTGCACACTGGCTCCATTCCCCCTGATGAGAGCAGCAGTGACATGCTCGTCATTGTGGATGACCCTGCCTCCTCAGCCCCTCAGTCCCGGGCCACCAACTCTCCTGCTTCCATTACAGGCTCTGTCTCAGACACCGTGAATGGTATGTGTTGTGTGTGATGGATAAGGTGTAGATTCTTGCTAAGAATAAGGCACTTTTGTCAAAGAAGCTTGAATGAAGCAAAAAGAAGAATCTTTGTAATTGTTCTTCAATGTGTCTATCAAATGAAACAAAGTGAGATTTAAGGAACACAAAATGAGAATTTTATGCAGATTTTAAATTGTTTTTTAGTCATCCCATCCTAGACTTTGCTATTTCGTCATCATTTTGTTGTTTTGCTGTGTACCATCGAGTCAGAACTGACTCACAGCTGACCTTCTAGCTAGTTTTTCAGAGGCAGTTAAATCACATGAGAGGAGATTTCTCTTTCAGAGCAGCTAGTGGATTTGAACCATGTGCCTTCAGGATTATAGCACAGCTTCTTGCCACTTGGCCACCAGAGCTCCTTCCTCTTTATTTTTTGGGTTTGTTTGTTTGTTTGTTTGTTTGTTTGTTTTAGTTCTTTTGGGGTTTTGGGGGGTTTTTTGTTATTTTTTTGTGGGGGGGGCGGTTTTTTGTTTTTGTTTGTTTTTTTTAAAATTAGCTTTGCTAGGCTTTCTCACTTTGGTGTATAGCATCCAGTTTTGGTGCTGTTTCTTTGGGAACTCTAAATATAAAACTTTTGAGTAAAAGTTGATTTTCCAAGGTTAGGATTACCTTGGCTAGAGTGTGCAGGTGAGAAATAAGTGGCAAGTGATCTATATAAATAAATTCAGAAGTATTGAAACTACTCATAGGATAAAAAGAAGTTTAGGGGTGGACTGTTTTCATTCTTAATAGTATGATTCAGTGATCCTGTTGATAAATAGAGACATCAACCACCCAGGAAGCCCAGAGAGCCAGTTCCTGACGATGTTAAGATTCCATTTACATGTGAAGAATTTTACTCTTCCTCTTTGCCCATTTATTCCTATAGGAATTTCCATTCAGGAAATGCCAGCTGCAGCAGGACGTGGTCACTCAGCTCGAAGCCGAGGCCGCCCCAAAGGTTCGGGAACCACAGCCAAAGGAGCAGGCAAAGGTCGGAGCCGGAAGTCCACGGCAGGCAGTGCAGCTGCGATGGCAGGAGCCAAAGCAGGGGCCGCAGCAGCATCAGCAGCCGCCTATGCTGCATACGGGTACAACGTGTCGAAAGGTAGGGAGACTGCGGGGTGGCCTGGACATCATTGAGTGTTCTACCAGGTCGAGCACGTGTGTTATCACCAACACGCATCTGTGTCCCAGACCTACTTTACAGTTTGTTCTTCACTCTGAGCAGGCTTGACTCTCTTCTGTCTGTCACTTTTTAATTGAAAGTAACTGTAAAAGAGCTGGATTTTTGGACTCTCTGCTCGTTTAAACATTCACATTTTTTCCCAATTTTAGAGCTGGTTTTTTCCTTTTTTTTTTTTTTTAACCAACCTATGATTCAGTTATCCAGGATAGTATCATTAACATTTATCCTGCTCTGTATTGAGAGTATAATACATCATGGACCTATTCTCAGATAGGTAGTAGAAGTATTATTTATGTAAATTTATGTAATATTATATAATAGGGAGCTCTGGCCTAGAGGAGTTGTGCTGCCAATCCAAAGACACACAGTTCAAAGACCTGCTCCATGGGAGAAAGAAAAGCAGTAGCCTTCCATGCAATTTAAAGTCTCTTTAAAAAATTACCCCCTGGAGGGTCAGCTCTGAGTCAGTCCCAACTTGACAGCACGGAACAACAGTAAGAACTATACCAGGGATGTGTTTCAGCAGCAGTACAGGCAATGTTCAAATAAAGGGAAAGGTCGTCGTTCTTGATCAGAACATGAAGGAAGGAACCACTGGACCCAATATCAAGAAGGCTGCCTAGCTATAATTCAGAAAGTGTAAGAAGGGAAATGGTTATGGTTGACTATGGCATGTGAAGGATAATTGTCAAAGTGAAATTAATATTTTTGAAAGTGAGGGAAGGAGAGTTGTTAATATTTACGAGCTCTCTCTTCATTCAAAATATAGTTAATGTTTAACTCACAGGAATACTGTGAAAAGTAAACTTATTGAATAGAGAGTGCTTGGCCTATAGTAAATGAACAGGAAATACTCCTTTTCACTACTGCAGGGATCCTAACCTTCATTTATTTGTTTACTTAGCAAATATGAAGTGTAAAAGCCTAGCCTCATGTTTAACCTTTTACCAGTTCATTGCATACTTGGAAGGCAGTGGCCATGCCAATATTTAAGGCACTCTGACAGGGCCTCACTCAGGGATGAAGCTGATCAGGGAAACCTAGAATGAGGAAGGCTTGAACTAAGGGACTGAGGAATAGAGGAGTCATCAGGTGGAAGAGTCACAGGAGAGCTCAGTGATGCTCAGGGAATTGAGAACAAAGAGGGAAAGACTTGTTCCTAAATCTTCTGCAGTTCCGCTATGAATAAAGAGAGAGAATTCTGCCTAAAAAGTGGGAACTTGGACTTTTCTTTAGTACTATGAAACTCTTAACAGTTTTACTGCACTAGTAAAGAGTCATATTAGACATAAGAAGAGTCATTTTAGATGTAAGTTGAAATGGAGAGTTTATAGTTGCCCAGGAAACCATCATCAAAGATGAAGGATTTGAACTAAGTCTTTAAGAGAGGCAAAGCTTAGAGATTAGCAGTGGTTCTATTCCATCAGCAGGAAAATTGCAGCCTGTGTCCTCTGGCTAGATTGATTGGTGAGCAGAGGTCATCGTCTACAGTGTAGAAGGGAAGCAGCATGTTACAGTTGTGTTCCAAGACAGGAGAACAGCAAATGTATCCGCCTGTTACGTGACAAATCTTACCCTACAGCTTTGGCTTCTACAGACTGTATAGTGTGTGCTCTGCCCTTGAGCACCAAGATGACATTTTACTCAGTGTGGACAAGGTGGTATGGGGAGGGCTGAGTGTATGGATATAATTTATCCTCCTAAAAACTTTTTACTGAGTCTCGATGTTCGAATGGGAGATCATTTGCGCTGTAACCTCCACTTGGAAGTGTTTCTCCAGCCTATACTCTTCAGTCTGTGGCAGCTCGCGTGGGATGGTGATATATAAGATCCCCCCCCCTTTTCTCCCCTCTCCCCTTCACAGGAATCTCTGCCAGCAGTCCTCTGCAGACATCCCTTGTTCGACCTGCTGGCCTTGCTGACTTTGGACCTTCAAGCGCCTCTTCTCCCTTGAGTTCCCCTTTAAACAAAGGAAATAATGTTCCTGGGGCTCCCAAGAGCCTCCATCTGACCAGCAACCTGACCACAGATTCTCTGGTTCGGAAACAAGGCAAAGGCTCCAACCCCTCTGGAGGACGGTAACCGCCTGGACCTGCTAGCTTCCTTCACCCAAACAGGCTAAAGGCCTTGCCAGCTAATGGTATTTGGATGGCTTGCCGGTACAGCATATTACATCCCAAGTCAGAGGGAAGAGATGACCAGTCGCAGCAAGGGAAGGAGAAGCAGGTGGTTGGTATGAGTACTTTTATCATCTGAGTTTCAAAAGAAGTGCTCTGGGGTTGCCTAAAGGAAGAAGGCCCAGGACCAGAGATCAGCCCCACATTTCAAGTGAACTTGATTGTCAAGTCTTAACCTCTTACTGGGGAAGGGCCTCATATTGACCCCGTTAGATGCTCAGGCACACTCTCTCCATCCCTCTCCACTCTGGCGCCGGTCATGCCCTTGCAAAGGCTCTGTGAATGCTATGAAGAGCAGTCGACGGTGGAGGCTTCTGTTAGGCTAGTGATTTCCTGTAGGGCTTGGAGCAGAGGAAATCATGTATCTGACATTGCGTCTTTGGGAAGCTTGTGTGGTTTCCAGCCCCCATTTGCCAGTGTCATCATTGAAGAGAATAGTTAAGTATGAGAAAGTGGTGGCATGTCTGAATGACAGAAGACTAGAGGAAGTGTATCCATAGGCAGTCGTTTCCCAGCCCCACTTCCCCAGTCCTGCATGGTTCACACTAGAGAACCTTCAGGTCCCACCAGCAGCAGTAACCCAGCTTCCACCTGAGGGATTCCCAGAAGCCAGAACAGAGACCAGGAGCCACCTCAGTCATCAGGACATCCTCACTGCCCCTCTTGCAGACTCTTCTCGTCCTTCCTGAATGCACAGTTTCCCCACCCCTTGTCCTTCAGCCCCCTGCTTGGCTGTATGCACTGTCTGTATTGCACTGAGAAAGGAAGGGACAGCAGGAGTTGAGGAGGTGGGAAGTGGGCAAGCTCAGCCTGACCTGAGACAGGCTTGCCACCATCCAGGAGAGGCAGGTGGTGGTAGTGTGGACAGGGGAGGAGTTTCCACCTGCCTGCACCCTGTCATGTCCTTGGTGAGGAGGTGCTTCTGGGTGGGCCAGCCTCTAATTTGCACACCTGAAAATCGCGGAACTGAGTTTAGATAGATTGATTTTTAAAACTTTTTTGGAGTAGGGAATGTAGGGGAATAATTTAATTTAAATCATTAAGATTCCCCTGCCCAAGCCCAGACTCCTCTGTACAGATGCTATTTAGAGGGAATCAGAAAAATGCCAAGCCTTTTTTCTCTTTGAATGTGCTGTCTATTTTTATAACTGAACTTGTACATATGTATAAAGAGAGACACATCTTTCTTTTACTAACTGGAGGGAAAAAAATCTTAAATAAAATGGAGTGAGATAATTTTATGTAAATTGGAGTGTCTGTGATCTTTGCATTTACATCATCTTGGGGAAGGTGTCAGGATAAAATGACAGGCCAAACCCCAATCTTGCTTATACAATCAAAGAGATACATAATTACTGGGACAGGAGTAGAGTGGGGATGTGGGCTCTGTGGTAGCCTTACTTGGGCAGAGCACTTTGCCTCCAGCCATCAAAGAGAAGGTTAAGTGCCTGGCCTTCATAGTCAGGCCCTTAAGGTATGGCCTTTTGATGACGCTGGAAGTGTGGGCACTGGTCCATTACCAAACAGAGTTCGAGTGGGAATCTTAGGGTTTTAACTGGTGATTTCTAAAAAAAGTAAACCCAAGAAACTCACAAGTAAGTTGTTATCCCAGCAGTGTGCAATGAATAAAATCTCCAGCTAACAGGACCTTAGAGTTTCAGTCTCTAAACTGAAAGTGACAGGTATACACTTAAATATGTTATAAACCCCAGAAACCAGCCCATTTTTAGGTCCAGTGCACTGTCAGTGGGTCAGTTAAACTGACTGAAATGCTAATGAATTGTGAAAGAGATTTTTTATCAAAGCTTCTTGGAGGTATTATTAAAAAAACAGTGAAATCTGTTTGGAGGGACTCCAGAGTCATCCAGGCTTTGAAAAGCTAGCTCTTTGGTGAGTTGGGGAAAGAGCAACAGCTCCGTGCCTGGGCAGGCAGTTGGTATTTCTCTGATTGAGCTAATACTGTAGTGATACATGTTCTTGTATTACCTCTGAACACAGCCCGTGCCGTTCCCAAGCTTGCTCACCATGTGGCCTCCCCACCTCGGCTCACCCTGCACGTTCTTGGTCCAGATAGGCTGGTTCTGCTCACAGTCATCACCAGCCTGCCTTTACTGTGTTGTTGATCTTATGGCAGTACCTCAGATAGGCTTTGTGTTTCTTACTAGTAAACTTGACCAAGTTCTTACACAGAAAATATCAACATCAGATTCCCGATTATCTATGCCCTTTTGTCATCCCTGTGGCTGCAGGTCAGTGGACTAACTGGGATGGGGCCTCTGCCCAATACCATGGGTGACATTACTGCTAGGTCTTTGCCAGGTTCGGCAGTGGTCTCCTCTCAGGAGTCACCACAGCTCTGAGATGCCTGCACAGCTGAGCTCAGGAATGAATGGACTATGGTCCTCTCATATAAAACCATGTATTATGTGAGAATTCACCTGTCCTTAAACACACTACCACCCCCCCTTCATTCATTTGCAATCAGAGGAAATATAAGCTAACATTTCACATTGAGGCCTGTGCCCAGCCATAAGGCTGGTCCCTCTTCACCTGCCTAGCTTTACACAAGGGCCAGCGATGGAATCTGAATCTTGAAAGTGAAAGCTTCAAGCTCATTAACAGCTTGAGCCCAGTCCCAGTGTTATGACTCATGCCCCGTTCACCCACTTTCCAAAGACTCGCCCATTTCTCCTGTGAGAGCCAGTTCCTCCTGATAAGGAGCAAGCACTAGGAAGGCTCCCACCAAGCTAAGAAGTAACCTCTAGGAAGCCCAGAGTCTCCAGCTAGCATCACTTTGCTGTATGAGCCAATGCTGGGAATCCTGGATAAATTAAAAGTCAAGGTTGTGGGTCTTCAAATACAGTCTTAACAATTTTGGGTTTGCACTAGGGCTGCTGTTAACGTATTCCTGCTGAGGGGTTTGATGGCTCAGGACTGCTCTACTTCCTTGATTCGCTCTGATCCTGAGGGGCTAGCTTGGGTAGAGGTGGGGCATTACTATTCAAGCTGTAAGTTAGGTGTTCTCACACATTCATGCTTTGGTGTCTGTAGGTTTCATTATATGCTGTCAAGTTGAGCAATTCATAGCAATTCTGAGAACAAATCTGAATCCTTTCTGAGAACAAATCTGAATCCTGCTGTATCTTGTGCAATACTCATCTCTTACATACTTAGTCCATTGCTACAGTCACTGTCAGTCTATTTTGTTGAGGGTCTTTCTTTCCTTCAGTGACACCCCCCCCCCCATTTTCTAAGCAATAACTTCTAACAACATGCCCAAAGTATGTGAGATGAAGCTTTGTCATCCTTAGCTACAAGGAGCATTCTAGCTGCACTTTGTCCAAGACGTACCTGTTTGATTCTTTTGGCATTACATGGAATAGTTAGTATTCTTAACCAACACCACAGTTCAAAGGCATCAATTCTTCTATCATCATTCACTGCCCAGCTCTCAGATACATAGCAAGTGATTGAAAGGAACATGGCCTGATTCAGCCGATACAGTATATCAATTGAGTGTTGCCACAGGTCTTCAAGACCAGCCTTCACACCAGCACCCAACCAGACCATCTGGTCATTGTGACAAACATCTTTAGTTCCTTTATAAGATGTTGGACTAGTTAGTAACTTTTAGCGGTGGCTGTTACATGTAAAAGACGGCAGGGATATCAGCCACCTCACTGCTGAGTGACCCTACAGCTCTGCTTTTTCCTGCCAAGAGTTCATTTGCTGAAAAAATTAAACTTTCTGAGTCTTTACTAAAGTATCAAGTATCCCTTCTCAAACTTTAACATGCAAATGAACCACCTTGAAAATCTGGTTCAGACACAGATAATTTGTCTCAGTAAGTCTTCGCTGAGTTTCTAGCAGGTTCTCAGGAGATGGTCTACTCCTTAAACCACTCTTTCCATTACCTTCTAGCCTGCCTGTCAGAGTGAATGCTGACCTTTGCACACTCCCACCCCAGCCAGGAAACCCAGCAGGAAACAGAACTATAAAACTTAATCCACCTGATGACAATGAAATCCTAGCATTTCTGGGGAAATTTAGAATTTTCTTGTTAGGATTTTTGAGTTTTGTTTACCTTTGGAACTTTTAAATTCGTAGTTTCCTTCCCTGTCTCCCCTCGTGAGTAGCACCTGTTAGTCGTACTATCTATGGGGAGAGGTCACGCTCCAGTCTCCTGTTGCTCTTCTGCCTCATGGCACCAGCTGAGATGCAACCTATCTTTAACGGTTGGCATCACTGTGCCGGGCATGCTCCCTTCTGGACTGACTGTTTCCTGCTGCAGTGCCCTCTTGACATGAGCACCCCGAGTCCATTTTCTCAGCTCATTGCTAAGCCTTCCCCACAAGTGAAGTAGTTTGAACTGCTTTGTGCTTTGCTGAAAATGAAAGATTGGTGAAGCCCTGCAATTTAAGAGACACAGTTTGTTCAATTTTAGGTGCTATCAAATTGACTACGACTCATGCTGACCCTATGAACATCCTGCACCTTGCTCAGACTCATAGTAGTCACCATGTCAATCCAGCATACTAAGGGCCTTCCTCTTTCTCTGATCCTCTCTCTTTCCCTGCATGAAACACTCTCCATGGACTGGTTCCTCCTGAAAAATATGCCCAAAGTATATGACAAGAAGTTTTACTATTCTTGTCTCTAAGGAGCACTCTTGTTGCCCTTTCATCAAGACAGATTTGTTTGTTCTTTTGGCAGTCATGGTATATTAAATACTCTTCACCAACACCACAATTCAAAGGCATTGATTCTTCCATCATCCTTTCTGTCCAACTTTAAATGCCTAGGAAGCAATGGAGAATACCACGGATTTGGATCGGGCACACCTCTGTCTTTAGACTGGCATCTTACTGCTGAGAACTTTAGAAAGAATCTTCACAACAGATGTCC